TTCTTTTCCCCCGCCCTTTTTAAAACCCCGAATCGGGGGGGGGTTTTTGGGGCAAAAACCTTTCCCCATACCCCCCCCGTATTTGGGCAAAGGGGGGTCCCCCCCCCCCCCCCCCCCCGCTTCCGTCTTCCCCTCCTCCAAGCACACCAGGTTCCGCAAAACAACATCATCCTCGCTGAATCGGATAACGACGACCTCGAGGACCTCGGCGAAGAAGATGTTGAACAGCAGTGGGGATAGCACACATCCTTGTCGCGCTCCCCGTGTGACGAAGAACCATTCCGATACTTCTCCGTCGTCCATGCGCACCCGGGCCCGCATTCCATCGTGGAATTGGCGGATGACTTTGATTAGCTTCGCGGGAATCCCGGCCCTGGCCAGCACCTTCCATAGCATCTCTCGGTCCACCGAATCATACGCCTTCTTCAAGTCGACGAAGCACATGTAGAGCGGTATTTTCTTTCTCCGCCCCAGCTCCTGGAGGCGGTGCACGACGAACAGCATGTCGACGGTGGATCGCCCGGGTCGAAATCCGCACTGTTCCTCCGGGAGAGGATGTTGTTGGCTTCGCAGAAGGCCCTTAGGCGGTTGGTGATGATCTTGATGGGGACATTGCCTACGTGAGATAGTAGCGAAATCCCCCTGTAGTTGTTACAGTTGGACCGGTCACCCTTCTTGTACAGCACCTTGATGGTTGCATCCACTCTCCACTCTTGCGGGATATCTCCTCCGTTCCACACCTTGATGAGGATGGTATGGAGGTGTCCCAGGACAAAGGGTTCGTCGTCATCGATCTTGAGCAACTCGGCAGGGAGGGAGCCATGGCCGGGTGTCTTCCAGTTCTTGAGGCCTTTCGCTGCCTGTGCCACCTCCTCGAGTCCTGGCACCTCTCCCAACCGTTAAGTATCACGTGTCGCTGGCCGCTGCGTCACTCGTTCGATGATATCTGGGTTCAGGGTGGGGGATTTGGTGTTGAGTAGGGTGCTGAAGAATCTCGCCCACCGTTGGAGGATGTCGTCCCTGTTCCGGAGCAACACGCCGTTCTCATCCGCGACGAACTGCTGTCCCTCCGCTTGTCTCCCGCTGAGGCCCACTGATTTCTTGAGGTGTTGGTACAGTCCTCTCATGTCGCGATCTTTGTAGATTGCTTCGAGTTCAGTCACATATCCGTCCAGGTGGGCATAAATGCCCGTTTCGACTGCTGTAGCCACTCCCTTACACGCTGCTTTGAGAGTTCTCCACGTTGCTGAGTTCCAGTTGCCCCTCATCGCCCGGCGCACTTCCCGCCTTTTGGTAAGGGCCTTCTCCAGTGCTGCTCTCGTCTCTGGGGTCTCACACCACTCCTGCGTGCGGCGTCTCCGCGGCTCCTCCCCTAGGGTCGTCCGCGCTGCTTCGAGGAGAGCATTGGTAAAGTCGGTCGCCAATTCCGCGTCGGTGATTGTTCGCTCGTCCAGTCGTGTGTCGAGGTTGAGGAGGAACCGATTTGTCACCGCATACCGTGCTGCTTCGAACTGCAATTCCCGTCGGTTGAATTGTTGCTGTTTCGGTTTATTCCGGACTGCACGGTTGTGGGCAAACCTGCCACCGAGTTTGACGGTGGCTACTACCATGTTGTGGTCTGAGTCTGCTTTGACTCGGCGAACCTGCTGGGGGATGACAACCACGTTAGATACTCGGCCGCGATGTGCCTGCCTTGTCAGGATGTAGTCAAGGCGCTTGCAATCGTTTCCTGACGCACCGTTCTATGTGTGCCATATTCCGCCCTTGCGTGTCTCGAAGAACGTGTTCGTGAGAGCTAGCCTGTTTTCCGTTGCGAAATTCAACAGTAGCATGCCATTGTCATTGAGCTCATCACGCCCGTACATTCCTATTACCCTTCCGTCCCCTCCGTCCAACCTATCTCCCGTCCGCGCGTTGGCGTCCAATAAGACATACACACATTCTTTGGAAGGGATCCTCCGCACGAGACTGTCAAGTTTTCCCCAGAACACGCGCTTGCTGTCGGCGGTTGAAGGTTCGGTTGGAGCATACGCGGCTACGAAGTTGACCGCTCCACGGTGGCCTGTCAACAGGAACCTCATGGCCATAAGGCGTTCGTCGATAAACTCAGTAGTGAACGTGGATGTCTTGCACAGTGACTCTTTGACGGTTATCCCCACACCATGGACTCCACCAGTCTCCGTGCCACAGCAGAACGCCCGAAAACCCGCTGCTGCAAATTCCGTTCGACCTGCCCTCCGTGTCTCCTGCACTCCTACCACCGATATGTCTTGTCTCGCTGCCTCGTGTAGAATGCTGTAGGCTCGCCCGTATCCATTGGCCCCGTTTACAGCCAAAGTCCGCACATTCCAGGTTGCTACCCTAAGAAGTTGACCCTGCTGTCTCTTTCGCGCGGCACGCGCTGCTCTCTTAGCTAGCCTACGCGCCGCCCGACCCCTCCTTTTCCTCCATCTCCCCCTCTTTTTTTCTTTTTTTGCTATTTTATTGCGAACACTCGGGCTAAGGTGAAAGTTACCCCGGTTCTTGCCTTGTTTCCCATAGAGTTGTCTTCTTGTCCCGGAGCGGTGTGGCCCTCCATCTCTGGACTCTCTCATTTCCTCTCTCTGGGGCATACCCCCACGGCGTGCGGTCACTCCGCCACCCTCACCGTGCTCTCTGCTGCTGCATAACCCCGGTGTCCAAGCCGGGGCGTTAGGATCCAGTCTCATTTTGCAGCTACCAAAGCTGGCGGTTCACGAGCTACCCCGATCTCACGACAGCAGTAACTCCCAACCGCCAAACTCAGGATCCCCCTCTCAACAGTGCTAGGGACCGTATATCCGTGTTTGCTGGGTGGTCTTTCGAGGTCTAGATCCACTTGCGGAACCTCGGCCTACCCCAGGGACGGGGGGGGGCAGGCCGGGGAGGAGCTTTGTGGGGGGTGGCCGTTGACTGAACAGGCGGGCATTTGTCTGGCAGGGAAATGCAAACCGGGTACCCCACCGGGGGGTGAGCAGCCACGATCGGGTGTACCCGGTCGAAAAATGGGCAGGTTCGTGTGGCGGCGAGCGGTGGCCAATCAGATGGAGCCATGCGGTCGCTGCGGTTTCCACGACTGTGGTCATGCTCGCACCGGGCGTATTTGGCCACAGCTCTTTTTACGTTTTTTCTTGGCCCAGTGCGTGGAGGTTGAGGGGTGGGCTCTGTCAATCGATCTCCTCTGTCGCCTCCTTTTTTCCGACATATGTCCTGCCGGGAACAATGACTTTCGGGGGCCTGCATCTTGTGTTTATGCCTACCCGTTTCGGGTTGGTTTTCCTGGGACATCGTTATTTCCCTTTTCTATGGCACTTCAATATTTCTTCTTTTTTGCAGGTGAGCTGTGACCACGGAAGAATGAGGTTTTAGTCAGTTGCACCAGTACAGATGTTGGAAGGTGCTGAGCAGAGGTCTGAACGGTCAGAAAATATCTGAAAGATACAAAACAACCGATTGTGACTCTCGGTGGAACCACAGTTTGGATCCCCGCAAGGTACTTCATGTTTAAAGTGTAACGTGCAACTTCATCTCCACGAATACCCTGCCCTAAAAACAAAAAGCAAGTCGCTATCGGAATACCTGTGTGGAGTCTAGACGCTTCGCGTTGCTTACCGGCTCTTTCCCAGTCCCCATCCAGAGGTCCAGATCCTCACCCGGCGGCACCTGCCAATATTTGGGGGCACGTGACCGTGCGTTACGTCGGAGGCCCCAGAGCATTCGATTGTATTTTCCGAACGATGAAGTGTCGTCTACTGTACAAGCTAATCGACCTCAGAGAACCGGATGATACCCTTCCGACCCAACGCCTCGAGCGCCTCGTTTCGCCTTGAAAGCCATCGCTCACAAAATCTACACTACAATACGAGCATCCATGATTGTACACATCGTACGAAATTTTCGTTGCCCTCGTCACTCCGAAAGCACGTAGCGCGCGGAATACGTACTGTCACGGTAAAACAGGAAACGCATACTGGGATTAACCAGAAGAACAGCATCTTCACGAATATTCGTAAGGGCAAACAAACGACCTATTAACTGCCGTTAAGACCGAAGCAGCTTTGAACAAGTGGAGAAAACACAAACCCTCAGACCAAATTAGGGCTAGCCCCTCACCAATAACCTGACGATCGGCAGAAAGTAATCCGTGAGAGCAAAAGGTCGAAAGTCCCTCGAGTCTTCCGTGGATACGGGAATGCCCGACAGCTTTGCGAATAGGGTCACGCGCGGGTGTGCCAATCCCTCCTTGCTGTCCAACGAGAGAAGCAACGTCCGAAGCATAGAATGAGTAGTAAGGAGCATTTTGCCACCGCGCCCAAGCAAACCCACATTTCGTCGTCTGGGGTGGCCTTGTTTCTGGTCGAATGTTTCGACACGCATTGGAACTTGCCGAAGTTGCTGGTGTACAACAGGGTACGACATCTCCGTGCAGTAAGTGGCACCTGATGCTGGCGACGAACTGGCGGAGCTTCTTTCTCGCAAGATTTTTCGTACCAAACTGCCTGATGTTGTACTGAAGTAGGAACCGATCCAGACGGTGGTGCTTTCGTCTCTTCCCGGGAGCGAAACGCCCCTCCTTCGTTTCGAGGACAAGCATTTTGGCGTCGACCTGCACGATTGGACAAGCATTGTTGTTGTCAGGGTCGCGCTTGTTGCCCATGTCTTTTGCATTCGAAGCTCGCAGTTTCATGGTGTTTTGTCATATGTGCAAGGAAGGGCAGCAGCCTATGCACCGAGGTGGAGATGTGCATCTCTTCCGCAACATGTATGTGTAGCAGTAACTCGCAAAAACGGTAGCTGCGTCCATACCGAAGCGAATTGGTCCGTTGGTCGGTCTCTCTGGTTTTCTCTCTCGCTCTCGCCCTCGTACTCTCTCTCTCTCTCCCATTGTCTCTCTCTCTCTCCCCCCCTTTCGCACTGCCTCTCTCTCTCTCCCCCTCTCTGTCTTGCTCTCCATTTGTAATCGTTTGTGAGTTACATGCGATTGGACAATAGTTCAACCTAGTTTTATTGTCCAAAGGTGCAGATCCCTTGTCACCTGCTCTTTGGCCTTGTAGATCTTGGCAATGCTAACCAGAAGTTTGTCGATCTATGTAGCCCCAGCACCCGGGAGAAGGGCAGAAAAAACCGGTCGCCGACAAAGACAAACACGCACACCAGAGAGCGCTGCCCGTGTTAGACAAACAGAGGAGGTTTGGTGAATAGGGTATATCTCTCCACCCAAACGAGACTGCGCCAACGCACTGGCAAAAACAACTGCACCCCTTAGCATGGAAACGTTGGTGTAGCCGTTCAAGTGTCTGGCCTCTGCAAAATATCTACCCGGAACACAAGACGTGCATAAAGTACAGCTCGTTGGCATGCCTGAAGGAATATGCAATGACAAACAAGCACGACGAAGGAGCCATCCAGGAGGAAAGGCCCGGCCAGGCGTACAGTTCCTAACCTTGATCATCCCTTGCTTGTTTTTCCCGCCGCTAATATATTGGTGTAGCCCCCCTGAATTGCCGACCTTGGATACTATCATTGCCATCGAGACAGCTTTTTGCCACCTCCCCAATGCAAAAGAAGGACGGAGATCTTGGGTCCCTGGCGGGACTGCCAATTGTTTCGACCCGCGGCAGACAATGGGGCATCGGGAACGCGCAGGACATGCTTGCTTTACCACGAGTGTCTGAGTGGTGTATCATGCGGCGTGTGGAGTGGCAGCGAAACGCAGTAGGTGTTCTTTATTGGGTTCTTCGACCGGTTGGTCCTGTTGTGGCTTTGGTCTTGTCTATATCGGATACGTGTCGGCCCACCGGGGAGAAGGTCTACCGGGGATACCCCTGTGTCATTCGAACTTTCACACAGTGGCCGTCGCTAGCTCAACAACAGGGACTGTGCTCAGTGTCACCTCGTTTCAGTCAAGGGCGCAAGCAGATATGCTTCAGACTTTGCTCGGCGACAAATGTTGACATATCTCCTCGCTGGTGGTTCTTACATGCTGCACGGCTACGCATACGAGCTCTCAGATGTCACTCGGATGCCCGGCTGCCATGCAAATGTACGTCTCATTGCCTTCGGACATACCCTGTTTTCGACCTTCCGCTCTTACCGTTTTCTGCTCGGCCTTTCGAGACTTGCTTGATCTGGGCAAATGAATGAAGCTTGTGCAATGATGGACCTGGGCCCTGGTTTCTCCCGTCCTCCTTCACACCAACGGTGTCAATGCCTGGGTCGCTCCCTTCTCCCCTGGGTTTGACGCGACGATCGAACGAGGAAACTTAACAGCCGGACTATCATGAACAAATGGGACCTATTCTGTGTCATCACTGCAACTTCCTTTGGGAAGACGCTTGCCCTTGTCAATCGAACGGGAGGTGAACGACATGCTATGCTTACAACCATCCATGAGATGGTAGCCTGTCATGTACTGAGTCGAGGGGTTCAGCTGCAAAGTGGACATGATGAGCTAGGGAGCAATGGATAAGAAAGCCTGCTCTATTATAGAGGTTCCCTACCGGGAGTGTCAGATCCAACCTACCCATCCAACACATCGCCCATGGTGACAGCGACTTTTGTGATGCGGGGGTCATACCGGATCTCCTCCACCGGCTTCCAACACAAACTGCCGATACGAGGTATTTCCTGTCAACACGAGCAGGGGGGGGGGGGGGGGGGGGGGG